GCATCAAAATAATACGGTGTGTCATAAAAGATGATCTATAACTATACTTGGTTATGCAGATTATACTGAAAATATTTTCAAGTTCAGTATTAGTGTTTACTGTCTTTTACTTAACATTATCACAACATCTTGAGATAATGACAAGATCTTGACATCTTGACAACAGCTGTTTCAAAGGAGTCATGTGAATGAAAACCTGAACAGTGGTTCAAAAAGAAAAGATAGAGAAGGGCTGTCAAGCAAGTGATATAGATAACTCCTCAGTTTTACTGAAATAGGGAGTAAAGAAATGAGGATTGAGAAGTGAGCAAAAGAGGAATTTTTTTAAGGCTAGAGGAAATTAGAGGCATTTGTATGCTTATGAAAATAATCTAATAATGATGGTGAAATCAAGTACCTATGATATTCCAGGTATGAAAAATATAATAATGAAGAGAACAGTTACAATTCTTAAGCTTTAGAATCCAGTAAATAAGAAAAACACATTATTATAGATTATAAGTACTTTTAGGGAATCACACTTTTGCCTTCAATCAAAATAAGATTTGAAATCCTCAGTTTGATTTCTATGAGAAGTATATACAAGGTCCTTTATCTAATGTGACACTTTTTTTTTTAAGATTTATTTATTTGTGCATACAGAACTGGGGTACAGGCTAGAGGCTCAGGGGTGGCAAGAGGCTTCACCAGAGACAGAGTGGGGAGCAGAACAGGCAAGATCAATGAAGTACACTACTGAGGGGAGCAGCAGGCGGGTCAAGAGAGGTCTGCCATGCCATGTGGTCACCTCCGGGAATCGAACTCATGCAGAAGTGGCTTTAGCTTCTCAGTGCTGTGCTTTAACCCGCTGCTCAACCAGGGAGAGCCTAATGTGACTCTTTTATTGCAAACTTTCTTTCAAGGAATATTTTTCAAAGACTTGACTGATATGTACATGGCAGGTAGGTTAGAATGTGGAAATACAAATATGAACAAGTGTAGTTCGGGCAAGGACCTTAGAGTTTAGAGAGAGGAGACAAAATTGGACAGACAATTATAGTATGTTGTGATAAATGTTATGATGTGGGAAAGTACAGGATGCCGTGGAATTACAAGGAAAGACAGTTAACCTATTGAGTGAATTAAGAATTTTCTGAAGGAAGGAATAAATAGGGATTAAAAGTGAAAAAACAGAAGAAGCTAAAGAATAAAGGATGTGGACAGACAATGTGTGTTTTAGGCATATGGAGCAACACGTCCAGAGTTTAGAGGCAACAGAGAATACAAAACTCAGTAACGTATAATCTAGCAGTAAAATTGAACTAGATTAAGAAAAACTATGTACAATACATTTAAAAGAGTAAACTTTGAAAAGCTATTGATATGTTAAGCAAGAAAAAAAATGGACATTATTAGGTGAGCATTTTAGAAAGCCCTTTCTGGAAGCTTTGTGGAAAACAGACCATAATATACAATAATAAAGATTGAGAATTCGTGAGGAGGCCGTTATTCTAATCCAGGCAAGAAAGTACTGATGTGAACTCAAGCAATAGCCATAGGATTGAAGAAGAATGGAAAGCAGTGAGGGTTTAGTTTTCAAAATCAACAGGACAACATGATTGACTGCCTATAAGAAAGCAAGAGAAAGGGGAGAGTGCTGAATGATAGCCAGATTCCTGGCGTTGGTAACTTGATCGGTGAAGATATCTGATATTGAGGAACTTCTTCAAGTATGAATATAAATTCAGTTTGAGGTATATTGAGTATGGAATCCATGGGATCTCAGTAATAGGGCCAAGAACCATTTGTCCACAAAAATCTAGAACTTTAGAAAGGTCTTGATTGAATTCAACAGTTGAGATAGTCTATGTTGTATATGATAAAAAAAAAAAAAACCCACATGGAATTAGAATATCCAAAAAAAGATATTGATTGGGGGCCCTCCCTGGTGGCACAAAGGGTTAGAGTGCAGCTCTATGAAGTGATTTCACAGCCACTATGATGTGAATTCAATTCCCCTCAAGGGAGGAGACCCATATGGTGTGGCAGATCTCTCCTGACCCTCCCACTGCTCCCCTGGTCAGTACCCCAGTTCCTATATGCATAAATAAATAAATCTGTTTTTTTCTTTTAAAATATATTGACCGGCCTCACCACTGGACCTAAAGTAGAAGGACAGTTCAGGCACAGCTGTGCCAGGAACTACAAAAATGACTTCAAGAATCTAGTTTCTCCACCCCAGCTCTAATTTCTCTAAGTAAACTCCATTCCCAAAGCATGAACTCTATTTATGGATACAAAGTCACTGCCAGTGGTTTTCCTTTCAGGTAAAATCTAAGAGTAGAAGGAAAGTCTGTAACCTAGAATTTCCAGAAAAACCTCTGAGATTTAATCCAATAGGATCATTTTAGGTCTTGGACCTATTTCTAAACCAATCACCAAGACATAAATGGAAAGATTATGTCATTAAAGACTTATTCCTAGCACCAAAAGTGTAATGAGTCCCACCTACACCATATGCCTTGTAAATTAAAATTCCAATTAGGATGGAGATAGGAGAATGGAATTATATAAGATAGTCAACATAAATATCCACTCCCAATATCCAGTGCTGTTAGAGACAAAGATTTGGGGTCAACTGCACAGAGATGGTAATGGAAGCCAGAAACAGATAACATCAAGGGAGAGCACATATCATGACAAGAGACCTTAGAACAGAATCCCAGGAAACATCAACATTGAAAGACTAAACAGAGGAAAACAAGCCTCAAAAAAAAAAAATGAAAAAGGAAGAGAGAGATGAGTCAAAAACCTAGTAAGTAGTATTTCAGAGAGGTGATTACTTCTTGGAACTTTTAGGAAGAGAGTACTATACACAATTAGCTGGGAGAGATTGGGCAAAATGCCCTTTAGATTAGCTCAAGCAGTTTTCTAGAAGCCATGAAAGGACCAGTATATGTGGAGAACCAGAGCTGAAGCCAGACTGCGTATGTATTGGGAAGAATGGAAGAAGTTGTAAGGATCAATGAGAAAGAAGAGCTTTTAAAAAATATGGACATAATAGAGTAAAGAATTGATATGCAGAAGAAAATATGAAATAAAGGCAGGATTTAAAATGTAAGATGATGCAACACTTTAAATGGCAGGTTAGAAAGCAATAGAACAGCAGAGACTAAATATAAGTTTTATCCAGAAAGTCTGGGTTTCCCACCCTTCATATAAATATTATGATATATATACTATATGAGACAAAGAGACTAGTCATCACTGAACAAATTATGATGAATTCAATTTTGGAGAGGTGAGAAAAAAAATAACTTCAGTTAAAAAGACTGTTAAATGGAAATGAAATCATACCCGACCATTTATGTATTTTTACCTGGATTTTCTTATAAGTTTCTGACTTGAAATTCTGCAGACTCTGGATTCTTATGACCTGAGGTTATTTTTTTTTCATGAAGCATAATTTGAAAATATTAACTTTAAAGCCTAAAAATCGATGAATTATAAGCTGATGTAAAAACCCGTTCTCAACCTTATTTTTAATCACAGACCACTTTAAAAATATGACAACTATGGAAATCCCAAAAAGAGATGAACTCTTCCATGGAGATTCACATACAGAACCTCATACCCACAGATACAAAGTACAACCTTCCAGGATTTGCCAACAGGAATTCTATCTGGACTGCTCATGTAAGCCAGACAGCAAATAGGTTTAGTCTCTAATTCCTTAGTCATAATTAAAGTTATTTCCCCCCACCCCACCAATGCCTTCCCCTGCCTATCTTTCCATGTGATACAGCTGATAAAACAAAAATACTGGACCTGGGTAATACCTTCAAATCCTGGCTCTATCACTTTCTAAATTATACAAGTCTGGCTAAGTACTTAACCTCTCTTATCTACCTATATTTTCCTTATCAGCAATATGAAACTATATTTATAGTTTATCTATTTCAAATGTATTTCCTCCACCCCCTTTAGACTCTTAAGAAACAGGTATCACTCTCACAAGAACCTACTACCTAATAGGAAATACCTTGAAAACAAGGAATTCTTCTTTTTAATTGTTTCTTCTTCCACTTTTTATCACAATTCTGCTGTAAAGCCACCAGACAAGTTTCTGATTTGAGTACTGATTTAGAATTAAGGTTTAATAAATTTGGTTGCAGAGATTAATGATCTCTTCCACATTTCCTACCACCTTTCCCATATTTTATCTTCAGGTGAAAATGTGAACTAGAAATCACAAATAGTTTTGTTTAATGGCTTATGGCCTCTATAATTTGTAAGGTTATTTATACAGGACTATTTTAAAAATAATACTATTAATATGAGATTATATAACCTCAAATTAATTCATCCCTACTAGATTTTATTTCATATTGAAATAGCTTTCACAATTTGACTCTTAATTGCTCTTATGTATAACAACATTAGTAAACCCATTAGAGCTGAAATCTCACCAATAGTTATATAGCTGTATCATAGTTACAGGATTAATGCTTTTTCAGAAGAGTATTGCAAATATGTCACAACAAATTGAAATATAAAAGAAAACCCCAAAAATCCTATAGGCAGTATGAACTAAAGAATGTTGTTTGGGGATAAGGTAATATATTAAATACTTAGTGTGTGATTAACTGTACATATTATACATTCCCTGCTTCAGCAAATCTTGAGGATAGAGTTTCTTTCAGTCAGATCTGAAATTAGGTCTCTCACTCATGTGGTTTCAATTAAGTTCTGTTAAAAATAGCTCGTAATATAAGCATTTTCATTTTTAGTGCCTCAACAACTTCATACTTTTAATCTATACAAAGGGTAAACCTTGGGAAAAAAGGATTAAAGAATGTTACTTAGTACACTGGTGTTGGCTGAAATTATTTAATGAATAGTCTTCTTATTTTACAACACAAATAATATACTTAAGAATACAGAAAAATATTTAACTAATCAAAAATAAATGATACAAATCTCAACAGAATTCAATGCGCGTATATATTACATATAATAAATAATTAAATTTTTTAATTTCATATAATTTCAGACAGACATTGTGCTTTATGGGTTTTGACTTGACGTTCATATCTTCAAAGCAGTGAAAATTCAGCCACAGCTGCTACATCCTGCCACTTGTTTTTATTATAATATCTGAAGAAAAAATATGACAATGGATTATTTCATACACATCACAGGAGGTATCCAAAAGTTACTTATAACTAGTCCCTAGGGAAGATAGTCTTGATGTCTAGGCAACTCTAGTTTTACCCATCAAGTCTTAGAAAAGACGTAGAGTACATTAAAGAAGAAGAAAGAATAGCTGGCTTGCTCCTTCCTGGATATAAAGAGAATAGGTTTCTTTGCAGATACTAAGAGACCTGCTTAATAAAATTCTGGTGGAAAGTTTAGTAAAGATGGTTGTCAATGGCCACCACACTCTCAAGCTCTAGCCTTGTAGCATTTCAAACCAGTTGTGTCCACCTTAGCCACCACCCATGCAGAAATCATTTTTTACATTCTATTACCCACCCTTCCTCTGCAATCTCCTACTCTTTGTTGTAGTGGAACTAAGGTTCTTCCCATTATAGGAATCTGGGGCCTTTCCCCTCAACCTTATATCAAAAGATCCATGGTGGAGCCAACTCTACCTTTTCCCATATCTATGTTCATACTAAGATATACCTTCTCCTGACAGATTGATCTAATCAGTCTATGTTTCACTATCAGGCCAAAAATTCTGATATCTGGGCTATACTCTGTACCAACTAAATCAGAATCTCTAGGCAGGGAACCAAATATCAAGGGAAGTCTGATATGCAACTAAGTTTGAACACCAAACACCTATATCTTTGCTATTCAAGGTGTGGTTCATGGGCAAATAATTTCAGCATCACCTAGGAGCTTACAGAAACATACTCTAGTTTCCCATTCCACAGTTAATGAATCAAGATCTCCATTTTAATAAAATCCTTAATTCATTCACAAGCACATTAAAGTTTGAGAAGCACTATTATTCTACTGTCTATTCATTGTTGCTGTCTTTACTGACCTCAGACACTGCTCATTTATTAGACTTTGGAAACTAAGCCACCATCACCCTTCCCACACATACCTTTGAGTAACTCCCCAAAGGTGTAATCAGTCCACTCAAGTACCCAGTCTCACACATCCAGGGAGATGCCCTATATTTTCCCCTGACATAACCCAGAATGCATCATTTTGAAACTTTACAATACTATAGAGCTGAGAGTCATCCACTAATTGTACATCTTTCTCATCACCCTGAGCCAGGACCTGAATGGTCACGAAACCCTGGAAATTATACCAATAAACATTTTTAGTTCAGACTGGTTTTCAAACCCCAGAACTCCTGAATCATCTAATTGAAGCAATGAAGCCAGAATTTATTCTATTTATAAATTCCCTAGGTGTTCTGAGCACCACACTGAGATACACTAACTCAGATCTGTATTTTCTCAACTTCGTTCATTAGGATTTTGGGTCTTTCTGCTTCCAGATTCACTTCACCCCATATTACCTCCACATTTCATGCCAGAATGATCTAATTAAAAAGCACTTTGACCAGGATAGGAAGCTCTCCACAATTTGATCCAATTATTTCTCAAGACTTGGTTCTCAGAGAGTTCAATCTCCATATGCTTGAACGTAACTATTTTCGATTCCTCAACTACCCAAGGATTCTTCAAGCCTCTCTATCTTTATTTATTTATGCTGGTTGCTCTGCATACCTTCCCAATATTCCCCAATAGGGTTCCACATATAGCTTTATGACAGCACCTCTCCCACCACTGGACTTTCTACATAAGATTACAAACTTCACTTAAAGACAGTTGTCGTTATCTGAATAATAACAGCAACAAAACACATGTAGCACATGACATTAGGACTCAATAAATGTGTATTTAATGAATGAGTTAATCAATTGCAAACTTTATCTTCATACTCTATAGATAACATGGCACTGAAACAATAGATTTAAATAGTCTTCATTACAGCAAAAAAGTTCCAAAGAGCAAAAAATACTAATTCAAAACTACTATGCTTATAGCAACACTATTTACAATAGCTAAGACAATCTATATGTCTCAGAACAGATGAATGGATCAAGAAGATGTGGTACATATACATGATGGAATACTACTCATGGAAGCAGCCCAAATGCCCAAAAGTAGATGACTGCATAAAAAAGATGTGGTACATATATACAATGGAATATTACTCAGTAACCAAAAAAGAGAAACACATGTGTTTTGCAGCAACTTGGATGGAGCTGGAAAAGATCATGCTTAGTGAGATAAGCCAGAAAGAGAAAGAAAAATACCGGATGGTTTCACTCATAGCAGGAGTATAATGGACCAGGCGAGAAAATAACAAAAATAATGAACAACCATATACCAGAGACATTTTGCGGGGGTGGAGTGGGGAATGGGATCAAAAACGGGGGGGGGTGGGGAGGGAAGTGCACGGGATTATGGTGATGGCACACGGGTGACTTGGTGATGGGAAACCCATGGGGATTACAATTGAGATGGAAAAAAAAATGTACAAAATGATGTAAAAATAAACTGCTGTAAAACTAAAAAAAAAAAAAAAGTTCCTTTTTCCCCCAAGAACAGAGTAGCCTATATCACTGCTATACTTGTACTAGCTTGATGTGTTTTTGTTAAAAACTACACACATTTATATAATATATATACACATATACATAATGAACAAACGGACACATTACAGTTAAATATGTTCCTAGAAATGAGGGAACTGCCTGGGTTTCTTAAGTCCAGAGATGGAATTGTTGGATCTCATTCCACCTCAGTAAAATTTCTAGGGGTTTAGGGATATGAGAACTATGCCTCACAAGTGAAAGAGAATCTGTTTCATCTGGCTACTCCTATGACCAAGAGGTACAATGCCTAGGGGTTCTTTTTAAATTTCGGAGTCAACATGCTTCTCCTTTGATTATAATAATCAAACTCAGTTACCAAGTAACCTAGAAAACTCTTTGTTTTGAGAGCCCTACAGCAAGAGAAAGCTCTTACTGTACAAGATATTCTGCCATTTGTACCATGTGATTCAGGCACTCTAGTGGTACCTAAAGTGACAGTGGCAAATAGAGATGCAGTTTGGAGACTGTAGATGAATCACAGCACAGTCTCACGATTCTGGAGCAAAGTCCTGTCATCCTCTGTGGGTAACTACTGTATTGTTGAGAAACAGCTTTCAGTCAGCTACCAAATCATGGTAGAGACTGAACAAATAACCTTAAGTCACCTAGTTACAATAAGGGCGGAGCTGCCCATTATGAATTGTGTGCTAAAGAGCAGCTCTCAGTTATCAGTTGAAAATGATATATACAAGTTTGGGCTCAAGCAGGCCCTAAAGGCACAAGCAAATGACACTAGGAAGTGGCCTAAATGCCCATAGACCCTTCTTCTACTACATTACTGTCCCCCCTCCAGTCTTCACATAGGCATCATGGGAAGGTCTTTAGGCTCACTCGACAGAGAGATAAAAAAAAACTTGGTTTATACATGATGCTGCATGAAATGGACAGCTATAGTACCTATGGTTCCTTTCTGAGGTATTTTTGAAGGGATATGGAGAAGGGATATCTTCCAAGTGGGTTAAACTTTGAGCAGTGCACCTGATTGTTCACTTTGTTGCAGTGAGACCAGATGCCCATATCACAAATCAAAAAACAAAAACAACACAAGTGTTGGCAAGGGTGTGGAGAAAAAGGGACCCTGTCACTCTGTTGGTAGGTATGTAGAGTAGTCCTGTTCCTTCGGAAAGACATGTGAAGATTACTGAAAAGACTAAAACTTAATTTAACATATGACTCAGTAATTCCACTCTTATGTATCTATCCAAAGAGCAAAAAATACTAATTCAAAACTACTATGCTTACAGCAACACTATTTACAATAGCTAAGACAATCTATATGTCTCAGAACAGATGAATGGATCAAGAAGATGTGGTACATATACATGATGGAATACTACTCAGTGACCAAAAAGATAGACTCATGCCATTTACAGCAACAAGGATGGAACTGGAAGGGATTACTGTAAGTGAAGTGAGCCAGAAGAAAAAAAGATAAATACCAGATGGTTTCATTTATACGTGGAATCTGGAAAAACTAACCAAAGACAAACTGTAAGACTGACCCTTGAAATAACACCAAAGGGTAGACATTCAGGAGGGGAAGGAAAGGTTGAGGAGGAGAGTAGACAACAGTGGGGAAAAAGAGCGTGGTGGAGGGTAATAGAGGACTGCAGACACTTTGGTAGTAGGACAATTATGGTTACTGCACCTGAGGGGAGAAATCCTTATTGTGAAAAAAATAAACAAAGATGTTTAAAAATAATTATTTAAATAAAGAAATAAACATGAAATAGGTGCATTAAAAGAGAGAGAGAGAGAAAACTGCCCAGATGTGTGATTATATACCAATCATACAATAATGTTTATATTTAAATTGTGACCAATAGTCTAACTAAATGGTCAGGAACTTGGAAGGAAGATGATTGGAAAACTGGTGGCAAGGAAATTTAGGGCAGAAACATGAATGGGCAAAACATCTGAAGATAACTGCATCTCATGGAAATTGTCACTAATGGGTGATCACAGCAGAGGAAGGTTTTAATAGTAGAAAAATGACCTGTTCCGTGAACACCAGTTAGTCCCTTTCCCAACCCTGTACATTTATGAACAAAGCAATGTGGCCATGGTGACAGGGAAAGAGATTATATATAGGCTCTGCAACATGAACTTCCAGTTCCCAAGCTCAACTTTGGTTACATACACTGCTGAGCACCCAATATGTCAGCAGTGGAGACCAACACCTAAATCCCAGTATGCCTCCATTCCATAGAGTCATCAGCAGTTACTGGTGGTAAATTAATTATATCAAACTACTTCAAGCATGGAAGGGACAGCATTTTGTTCTTCCTGGAATAGTGGAATAGACACTTCATATGGATATAGACTGGCCTTCCCCACACACAATGCATCTACCAAAACCACCAATATAGGACTTACAGAATGTCTTATTCACCCATCATGGTGTCAGCATTGTTTCTGATCAAAGAACTCACATAAAAGCAAAAAGAGGACAACAATGAGCTGACACTCATGGAATTCACCAGTTTTATCATATTCCCCACCATCCTGAAGATGTTTGACAGGATAGTGAAATGGCGTTTTGAATTCTCAGTTACAGTACCAGTTAGGTGGGGACACCTCGCAGGGTTGGGATGAGGTTTAGAGGTTGTATATGCTTAAATCATCATAAATAGTGCCACTTCTCCTTTAATCAAGATTCATAGGTCTGAGTCAGGGGTGGAATTGGAAGTAGAATCAGTCAGTATTAATCCCTGGCAACTATTGGCAAAATTTTTGCTTCTTGTTCTCATAAATGTATGCTCTGTTGGCCTAAAGATGTTAATTCCAAAGGAGGAATTCTACCAGGAGACACAGAAATAATTCCATCCAGTTGGAAGTTAAAACTGCCAGTCGACCACTTTTTCTCAAGTCTCAGAGTCAATAGGTAAAAGAAAGTTACTCTGCAGGCTGGAACACTGATCTTGACTACCAACTGGAAACTAAACTACAACCCTACAATGGAGGTAAGTCTGAAATACGGGAGGATCCCTTAGAATAGCTCGTGATTAAAAGATCAATGGAAAGCTATACAAAACTCAGTCAAAGCAGATCTACTGAAGGCTCAGACCCTACAGAAAAGAGGGTTTTTTTTTTCCCCACCCAGGTAGTTAAAAACCATGACCACCTTGAGGAGCTTGCTGAGCTCAGAGGTGATATGGAGCAGGTAGCAGGGGAAGGCAGTTATAAATACCAGCTACAACTGTGTTCTATCTCTTTTAAAAAGTAGGCTCTGCATTCATACTACAGTACCTTGAGGAATACCTTTGGGAGGAGAATATTTCTTCTTTAAAACAATGCCTTTACTTTTCACTTGTCTAGTTCCTGGTGATGCTCTAATAATACAACATATTTCTGATGGATTTGAAGGAACCTGAAAAAGATAAATACTGTCTAATTCTTTCAGGTACTATATTTCTCTGCTGTTTTATTTCAAAGGCAAATACTTTCAATCTCCAAGTTTCATGGACATTAATAATAGAAAGCATTTATGAAATGCTTGCTCTCCTCTAAAATTCATTTTAAAACATTGGCTTATTTAATATTCACATGAATCAGGCAGATTATTGTCATTTTGTTAAAAGACATATTTTTTTATGCATACAAGAACTAGGGTTTAGGCCAGAGGTGCAGGAAGTGAGAGAATTCACCAGAGACAGAGTGAGGAACAGAACAGGCAGATGTACTAAAATACACTGCTAAGGGCAGCAATGGGCGAGACAGGAGAGGTCTGCTGCACCATGTGGGTTTGCTCCCTGGCTGGGACTGAACTCATGCAGCAGTGTCTGGCAACAGCTGAGACTTTAACCCCGTGCCATCAGGGATGCCCTATTATTTCACATATTGTCTATCATTTCTGCTGGGAACTATTATAAGATGAATGTTAAAGAATATTTCACACCTATTCTGTTATTCCCTTGATCTTATGTGACAAGAATTTTATGGCGTCCTCTCTGTTGGTGCAGAGGTTAAGTCTCAGCACTGCTAAGCTCTTGCTAGCCTCTGTGGCAAGAGTTCCAGCTCTGCACAGGGAGCTGAGCCACATGGTGCAGACCTCTCTGTTTCGCCTGCTGCTCACCTCAGCAGTGTATTTCAGTACATCTACATGCTTGTTCCCCACTGTTTCTGGTGAATCCTCTCATTTCCTACACCTCTGGTGTACACCCTAGTTTTTGCGTGCATAAATAAATAATTTTTTTTTTAAGATTTATTTATTTGTTCATACAGAACTGGGGTACAGGCCAGAGGTGCAGGGGCAGTGAGAAGCTTCACCAGAGACAGAGCCGGGAGCAGAACAGGCCAGTGAACAAAGTACACTGCTGAGGGAAGCAGCAGGTGGGCCAGGAGAGGTCTGCCTTGCCATGTGAGATCACCTCGGGGGCAGGCTGGGATCCAACTCATGTGGAATTGGCTTTAGCTATCTTAGTGCTGTGCTTTAACCCGCTGCGCCACGAGGGAGGGCACATAAATAAATAAATCTTTAAACAAAATGACAATAATATAATCTCTGGTTCATATGAATATTAAATAAGCCAATGTTTTAAAAATTAATTTTAGAGTAAACATTTCATAAAAGCTTCATAAATTTTAGCTCCTCCTAAAATTTCATTTCAACAGTAACAAGAAAGTACCAAACTTGTAAGAAAACAAGCTAATATGTAGAAATTATATTTCTAGAATACATATATTCTGATATTTATAGAAATATCAAACAATGAATTTAGGCCCCAGAACATCATATATTAGAAATATCACATTAGAATAGAATAACAAGGTATGAAATTATCAAAGTACTAATGAAAATTTCATGAATATGGAAATACTAAGATCAAAAATGGGAACTCCTTTGAGAAAGAAACTAGGACTTTCTGAAATGAAAAATAAATAATTGAAATAAAAAATTCACTAGCAGTAGACACAATTACAGAAAAAATTACTGAAGAAATTACCTAGAATACAACAATTAAGTGAAAAAACAAACAAAAAACAGAGTGAAAGATGGGGAGGACAGAAAGAGGTCTAACATATACTAATTAACAACAAATTTCCCAAATTGCTGAGACTTGCATGATTCAGACCTAAAGACCCAAGCAAAATTAGAATTAAGGTAGAGCAGCTAACAAAAATATGAATCCACTTATATACCTACTCTAGTGAAATTATTTCATACTAAGATCAAAAAAACCTAAAAGAAGCCAGAAATAAAAGATTTATAAATCACCATGACCACCCCAGGTACAATGCTTTACTAAAAGAACAGAGAAGATAAAGAAAAGGTGCTACACTCAGTTGTAATTTATTACAGCAAAGGCCACAAATTAAGATCAGTAGAGAAAGGCACAAAGGTAGAGTCCAGGAGAAAAGGCATAAGGCTTAATCCCAAAGGACAAGCTTTCTGTTATCATCTCTTAAACAACACCTAATTCTCCCATGTGCAAAGTGTTGCCAATCAGGGACATTCAGCAAGCCTTGATATTAGGATATTTATCTGTAGTCAGTCCCAACACAAATAGTCCTACATGACTGGGTTTATTAATCAGATCTCAGCCCCGATTAGTAATCTCAGCCCACGAGATGGTCCAAAGCCACAAGGACCAAAAATAGGTATTTACCATAAATCAATTTTTAGCATAAACTATTTGACATGTTTCAGGACATACAAAAATGATGAAGAAAGAAGTACTGAAGAAATTACCAAAACTGTAACAGAGTAATGAAAGGCAGGTCATCTCCTAACAGCCTTGCCATAGGATATTTCTGAGGACCTTGGGAATGTGCAGACCTGCTGAATTGACCCTTCCTTTCATACATATAATTTACAAGTAAATGACTATTAGGCTAACAGCACAGTTGTGACAGCAAGATAGGACTTGAAAGACAGTGGAAAGATACCATCAAAGAGCAGAGAAAAAAATGTCAAGATAGAAGTATATGCCCAATAGATAGGGGGTAGGGGGCAGAAATTAAGAAAAATCATATTCACAACATAACAAACTAAAAATATATGGAAAGTTTTTAACCTCATAACTGAGGTCCTGAGTATTGTTTCTCAATGGTTTTTGGTTTTTCTTGGAGAAGTTATACTTCCTGGCACCCTTGTGGGTCAGTGAAACCATGTGATATTCTGTACAATGATTTTGAACAGAAGTAATGAATGTAACTTCCAGGTCAGAGCATTTAATTGCCAATATAAGGTTTTTTGAGCTTTCTTCTCCCACCCCACCCCCAACCCTACCCCCACCCCAGCATAGTTTCTAGGTCCTTATTCTGTCAACTACAATTCAGTCAACTCAGTATAGAAGTATAGAATAGTCAAGAAATATTCCTATCCTATCTTAGCTGCTAACATTTTCAAGTTCCTTGTTACCATAATTTATCTTGACTGGTATATCTATAAAATAAGAAAATTAAAAATAGAAATCAGAATTTCAGGAGATTAGCATTTCCCTGTTCAGTCTTCAATATGGATTACAAGACTCTTTAAGTATACACCTTTCTCCTTGCCACCCAGTTTCCCATCCTCACTCCATAATCATCAAAACGATCTAGCTACACTGAACTACAGTGCATCATTAAATCTTGGCCCCTTTATTTCTTTTTCTTTTTTCCGTTTTCTTTGTCTTACTCTGTGTCCCTACTCTTATTTTCTCTGTCTCTTTCTTTCCCTCTCTCTGTTCTTTCTCTGTTCATTGTTTCTCTCTACTACCACCCCAATCCCATGGCTGTTATGAGTCTTATATTTTCTTCATTTCTAGAGCATAGCACTCCCATATATTTATTCTAACACAATGAGGTTGGTGACCACAATTTATATGTACAGAAAAATATCTGAATTTTCTATCAAAATAGTTTCTTTAGTTGTTTTACTACTCCCAAGATCTGATGATGTGAAGTGTTTTGATTTATAGCAGCCTAATATCCTTTATTTAGGATTGAAACTGATAGTTGACCCTGTGAATGATGTTAGCCTCAGCTGAGTTTCAGATTTATTAAAATACCACATATACAACATATCTAGTATAGTAATTATAACTTATTTTAGAAAATTGAAGAAAAAGTGAAAATACTACCTTATTTGAAGAATTTTCTTGCAAACTTGACACAGGAACAATTTCATTTGAATTAATATAGCTGCTGATATTTGGAAATAGTTCTTCAAAAGATGCTTTTTTAACTGGGGACAAATCAATCTATAAAGAAGATTATAATACTCTTTAGCTTCAAAATTATTTTAAAATAGGAATTTTTGTTTGCCACAGCATCATGTGATTTTCTTTTCCTATTTGTTCATCCAACAAAGATTTATCAAGTGCCTACTAAATGAAATACACTTACACAGTCACAATATGCTTAGAAAAATATTACCAGCTCTCTCTTTAAATTTCAGCCTTCTATAGTGTTCTACCCTTGCCTTCTTTCTGCATACTAGAGATTTTTAAATCTCTAACAGAGGACTCAATCCTGAATACCACATCCATATCTCTATCAGAAATCACCACCTATTTCTACATTACATTCAAAATGTTTACAAAACTCATGATCTTTAATCTCTAGGCTGGGATTCTAAAAGGTTTTGGTAACTTGACCCTCTAGATCTAACCTGAATGGTCTGGATTGAACTTAAGCTAGATCCCACTGATGCCTAGAATGGATTGTCAGCTGTACTGGTACAGGGACTGTGGAGAGGAAAGACTTAACTTGCCTGATTCCTACCCCATTTAGGAGAACAAGTACAATATCACACCAATAACCATGTCTATCTTGGAACAGTGTTAGGAAGCTCACATTAAAGTGAGACCCTGAAAAAATGAAAACAGCCCCAAGTCATAGAGTCAAGTAGCCTTTTTTATGGCTGACCAGCCAATGTCTGACAACTTATAACTGAGGGATCTCTACAGGCCATCTGGTGGAAGGAAGCTGTGAATCAGCCAAAGGACAATTAGTCTCAGACTCATGTTGTATTAAAATGTCAAGTAACTTAAACTACATTACAAAGCTAAAATAATAGTAACAGTATGATACTAGAACAAAATCAGACACATACACCAATGGGATATAATCGAGAGGCAAGAATAAGCCCATCTCTACATGAACAGTTAGAACAAAAACACTGCAGCAAGAAAACCCTCTTCAATAAGTGGTGTTAGGAAAACTGAACAGCCACATGCAAAAGAATGAAACTAGACCATTATCTTATACCATATTTTTGTATATGAAAAGACTTGGATGTAAGATCTAAAATCATAAAATATAGGACCCTCCCTGGTGACGCAACAGGTTAGGATGCAGCACTGCAAGCTGGCCACAGCCGCTTCAGTGCGAGTTCTATTCCTGGCCCTGGAGGTGACCCACATGGCGTGGCAGACCTCTCCTGACCAGCCCACTGCTCCCCTCAGCAGTGTACTTCATCAATCTGCCTGCTCTGCTCCCCACTCTGTCTCTGGTGAATCCTCTCACTGACCCTGCACCTCTGGCCTGCACCTGAGTTCTGTATGCATACATAAATAAATAAATCTTTTTTAAAAATCATAAAATATATATAAGAAAACACAGGCAAAACACTTCATGATACAGGCTTCATAGATGTCTTTTTGAATTTGTCTGCAGCAGGAAGAATAACAAGAGAGTAAATAACTGGGACGAAATAAAATTGAAAGGTTTCCGCACAGCAGAAACTCATATAATCAAAAGACATCCTGCTGAATGGAAGTATTTGTACTCCATACATCTGACAAGGGGCTGATATCAAAGATCTACAAAGAACTTATACAGCCAAAAGAAAACAAATAACCCAATCCAAGAAAAGACGAGTTAGAGGCAGTTCTCCAAGAAGACAAACAGGTGGCCAACAGGCACATGAAAAGATGGTTAACATCACTTATTAGCAGGGAAATGCAAATCAAAGCTACAATGACATACCACCTTTCACCTGTGACAATGGTCTTATCAAAAAGAACAGAAAGAACAAGCGCTGATGAGGATGTGGGGGTAAAAGGAACCCTCTGACACTGCTGAAGAAATGTAGACTGGTTCAGCCCTTGTATGGAGGTTTCTCAAAACACTACAAATGGATCTACCATATATCCCAGCAATTCCATACCTATGTGTCCACCCCAAAAATAATTCAAAAAGAATAAAAAAAACCAATAATTCAAAAAAGAATCATGCACTCCCACATTCACTGCATTATATATTAAAGCTAAGCTATTGAAACAACCTAAGTGCCCAAATACAGATGGATTATTAAGATGTGATTTGTGTACATAATGAAATGCTAGTCAGCTATCAAAAAAGGAAAAATCTTGCCATTTGTGAAACATGGATAAAGTTGGAGGAACTAAGCTAAGTGAAATAAATCAGGAGAACAACAAATACCAGATTGTATCACTTACATGTGGAATATAAAGAAAACAAATGGTCAGATGAAGTTAAACTAAGAACTAACACTAGAAAGCTGACTATAGAGCTAAGGCTACCAGAGGGGCAAAAAGAGGGAGAGGGGCAAGAATTAGGTGTGGAAGCAGCACAGTGGAATATGTAGGGCTTTGGATTTCTTAGTGATAAGTGTGATGTGGTAATAACACCTGATGGGGGAGATCCTGTACTTCTAAAACACAAACAGTGTAAACCAATGTTAGAGCAAAACAAAATTTAAAAGAATACAAAGAAAATTTTAAAAAGTCAAGTCACTAAATGCTCTTAAAGGTATTTTATTAAAAGACTCTAGTCTTTACAGAATGAGAGGCAATATTTGCAAATACTTTCTCATAAGGATCGAATATAGAATAATATTAATATCTAATAATATCTAAAATAAATACTATGTAGATGTTAGAGCTCATAAGAATCTAATATTTAGAATAAATAAAGAACCCCTACAACTCAACAAAGAGAAATAATCTGATGGCAAAGATGGGAAAAGAATATGAATAGACATTTCTTCAAAGACATACAGATGGCCATTAAATCCAAATGGAAAATCACGACGAGATATCCTCATTTTTTGGTGTACTAAAAAGAAGATCCTAATAATTGTTGCTGGAATAGAACTTAGAACACTCACATACTGCTGCTGGGAATATAAAATGGTTCAATCATGTTGAAAAACAGTCTAGCATTCCTTGAGTGACCAACCAAAGGGCTATCACATAACTCAGAATTTTTTTTTTTTAAACCATAACTTTATTTTTTTTAAAGATTTATCCATTGATTCATACAGAACTGGGGTACAGGCCAGAGATGCAGAGGGTGAGAGGATTCACCAGAGACAGAGTGGGGAGCAGAACAGGCAGATTCACGAAGTACACTGCTGAGGGGAGCAGCAGGCAGGTCAGGAGAGGTCTGCTGAGCCATGTGGTCTCCTCCGGGGCAGGCGGGAATCGAACTCATGCAGAAGTGGCTTAAGCTTCTTAGTGCTGTGCTTTAACACTCTGCGCCACCAGGGAGGGCCACATAACTCAGAAATTTTACTCCTAGGTACATATCCCAAGAAAAATGTGAATAAATATCCAGATATAACCATTTAACTGAATATTTACAGCACAATGCATTATTCATAATAGCCAAGAGGCCATCAACAGAATGAATTATTATTTGGCCATGAAAAGGAATAAAGTACTGGCACATATTATAATATGGATGAAACCTGAAACATCATGCTAAATGACAGATGCCAGTCACAAAAGATTTGGGGCCTTCCTGGTGGCGAATGGGTTAAAGCTATCCCCACCCACTTCAGCTTGAGTTTGATCCCCACCCACGGAGGTGACCCACATGGTGCAGCAGACATCTCCTGTCTCACTTGTTGCTCCCCTCAGTAGTGTACTTTGTAGATCTGTCTGTCTGCTCCCCATTCTGTCTCTCGTGAATCCCCCCACCGCACCTGCACCTCTGACCTGTACCCTTGTTCTATATGCAAAAAAAAAAAAAAGATATTATATTACTCCATTCATAAAAAATGTCTATCTCTATAGAGATAGATTGTTGGTTACACAAGACTGGATAGTTGGTTGGAGAAGTAAGACTATAATAGATAAACTGAATGAGATTTCTTTTTGAGGTGATAAAAGTGTTCTAAAATTGACTGTGGCAATGACTGCATATATCTGTGAATATACTAAAAACCAGTATAGGTTATACTCTAAATAGGGAAATTAAATGGCATATGAATTATATCTCAATAAAGCTGTTTTTTAAAATAACTCCAATAAAAGGATCAAACACACAGTTACCAGGTGAGCCAGCAATTCTGCTGCCACTTCTAGGTGTGTATATCTAGGGCAAAAGAAAATATGAAAATCTGTACATGAATGTTCATTGCACTATTATTCATTCCAAATTACTGATGAGTTAGTAAGTAAAATGTGAATATTAAAAAAATAAAATGTGAATATTCTTTTAATGGGATACCATTTATCCATTAAAAAAGTACTGACTTGTTATATTTGAAAATATGCTAAGTGAACTTTTGATCATCAAAAGACACTGCTAACAAAATGAAAAAGTAACCAACAGAATGGGGACAAATATTTGCAAACCATATCTCTGATAGGAATAGATATTCAGCACATATAAAGAGTTCCTACAACTCAACAACAAAAAAAGTAATCTGACAAAAAATACGCAAAATCCTTGAACAGACTTAACTCCAAAGAAATATATAACTGGCCAGTAAGCATGGAAAAAGATGTTCAATATCACTAGCTGCAATGAGTTACCATCTCACTTGTGAAGATGGGTAACATTGTTTTAAAAGAACAAATGTAGGCAAGGATATGGAGAAATTGAAACCCCTGGGTATTGCTGGTAAGAATATAAAATAGTACTACTGTCATTAAATTAAAAACAGAAATGTTTTAATTTCTCAAAAAAATTAAAATGCGAACTGCCATGTTATCCAGCAGTTCCATTTGTGGGTTTATAACCAAAGGAACTGAAAGCAGGGACATGAAAAATTATTTGTGCTCTTGTGTTAGTAGCAGCAGCATTCACAATAGCCAAAGGTAGAAGCAACACAAATATTCATTTACAAATCAAGGGAATAAACAAAGTGTAGGATATACAGTCAACGGAAGATTATTTAAACTGAAAAAAGGATGAATATTCTGAGACATGCTATAAAATAGATGAAATCTGAAGACACTGTGGTAAATGAAATAAGTTAGTTACAAAAATGTTCTGGCCACTCTTTCACCCAGGGCTTCTGTACCTGTGTGCCATGGCCTCTCCATGCATTTGGACAAGGCACTCCCAATGACCACCTTGGGACAATGGTCCACATCACAAGGTGGCCGGGGATGCCTAGATAACCACTGATTGGTTGCGTGGTCAGGGTTCGAGAAGGCCTGGGAGTAACTCAAAAATTACAGCAAGCATCTGCATGGGAAGTTCTCCCTGCATACGTAGCCGACATATCCTCCCCTGTTCCCTTTGTAATTGATACCCTTTGATCTTTTTGAAGTCCTGCTCTGACACAAGCTATGCAATGTCCATCATCTGATAGATTCCGGGTGGATCAGGATAAGCTCTGAAAAATCAGACTGTCCACTGCTAACTTATGTTATAAAGCTTTTTGTATAAACATAATATCAAAATATTCTGAGCAACATTCAGTTTATAACTGGATTGTCTTAGCCACACTGGCGGCTGCCTGGTTCAGGCAAGCTGCCCCAGGAGAAATTCCTCTGTCTCCTGAGACAAAAGGCAAGCCCCAGGAGAAATAAGACCCCAGGACATAAAAACTCCTGGGAAGCTTCCTTAGTTTCTTTAAATAAAAAAGCAAACCTCAGATAAGGCTCCCAGGGCATAATGGACAAATTTTAACCTTGACTACACAGGTGTTGTTTGATATACAACTGTACAACTTCCTCTTAATTTACTCCTTTTTTAAAACAAGCACTAACTACTCTCTGCTGGCCTTAAATTAGCCATTAGATTTTCTTTAGACAATCACTGATAACACTGCTAATACAATTTATTACTACCCCAAGACCCCTAACAACCTTTTGCTAACAAGCTCACCCTTTCCCAGACCCCTCTTCCTTTGAGTGATAACTAGACAGCTGTATACATGAGAACTATCACAAAACGTATAATCTATTATACCATAAATTGTTAAGAGAAGAATGCTTTTTCCCCTTGTCTTGAGAATGTTTTATGGAGATATTGTAACAGGTACAGGTTTCATGGACTCCGCCCCCACTCGATGCTGGAACTCCAAATCCCATCAGTACCAAGAAGCACGCAGGGACGTGAGGGTGGAGCTGAGCAGACAGGTTAGGATAAAACTGGACATGTGGGCTCTTGGGGTCTCTTGGCCTGGTGGTTCGCAGCTGATCGTTTCGGTACTCAATCGGTTTTCAGCGTGCCGGTGGAGTCCACATCAGCAGAACTGGTGGGACATCCTAGTTACCCTGTGTTTCTCTCCCTCTTTCCCTGGGTTATTCCTTTACTTTCTCCTTATAAATAAATCCATTATTTAACCTTTTGAGTGTGTCCATAATACGACTGAATCGTAAGCGCACGGGTGAAGACCCACAGATGGGCAGCCCAATTCACATTGGGGTGCCCTGTAACAATATCTCATTAACTTACCCTATGCATTATTACAATTAACTACTTGCTACACAGTATAAATAAAGACCTGCTGAGGGAATGGCAGGAAGACTTGCACCCTATCCTGACTCCCGTGTCTTCCTCGCGCCCACTCCTGTTTCCCCTTTTGCAATCTCTGCTTGCCAATGCCTTCCCATCTTAGGGTCCTGCCTGTGCTGCCTCCAGACACCTCAAAAGTTGGAGCTGGTCTCCTACACTGCTCCCCACAAGATAAATACTCTTTGCTTCCCCTGATGCCAATTCTCCTGCCATTGTCACATACTCAATCACGCCCATTCCCTATTACTAAACAAATAGCAAGGGGCTGTCCACTGGACAGCAGCGTCTTGCCTTGCAAACCTACTCCACGACCCATCTCTCAGGTGTGATCCCCGGACCTGCGGGCGTGTCCCTGTCCTCCAGACATAAGGATAAATACTATATGATTACATTCATATGGAGTACCTAAAGCTTGAATCAAATTCATAGAGACAGAAAGTAAACTGGCAGTTGTCAGGAATTGAGGAAGAGAGGATTAGGGAGTGATTGTTTAAGGGGTATGGATTTTCAGTTTTGCAAGACAAAAAATGTCCTGCACATGGATTGTGACAATGGTGACACAACATCAATGTATATGAATCATTCACTTGAAAAAGGTGAACTTTTTACTTTGTATACTTTACTACAAGGAGAAGAAGATACAGTGGAGGAAGGAGAAGGGGAAGAGAACCCTGGCTGGGACAGTAGTATTTTAATCTTTCTTTCATTTATGTATAACAGCATACAGAATATTTCTATATTTTGTTGTGTATAGTGGTCAATACAACAACAAATACACAGTAAAATCTTTATGTAATACTTCCCTGATGTGATATAAATATAATAATGCAAAGGAGGGGGAGCCAGAAAATATATACTACAAATTCCAAATGCTAATACTTACCACTAAACCAGCTGTTTGGGAAGATGGAGTACTTGTTAATAGGCCTCTGCTTTTCTTATCAGGAGTACTGGAATTTATGTTCTATCAACATTTTGTGAAAAAGGGGATTGAAAAGCAGAAAGAAATAAACTATTTTATGCAGTAAAGTGCAATATAAAATTGCATTAATAAAAATCTTAATATTAATATAAATTTTATTTGCTAATTAAATATTAAAATACAGTGCCCTCCCTGGTGGTGCAGCGGGTTAAAGCGCAGCACTAAGAAGGTTAAGCCACTTCCTCATAAGTTCGATTCCCGCCTGCCCCGGAGGTGACCACATGGTGAGGCAGACCTCTCCTGACCCGCCAGCTGCTCCCCTCAGCAGTGTACTTCGTCAATCTGCCTTTTCTGCTCCCCTCTCTGTCTCTGGTGAATCCTCTCAACCTCCGCATCTCTGGCCTGTACCCCAGTTCTATATGAATAAATAAATAAATCTTTAAAAAAATTTTTTAAAAGACAACACAGGTAACTAAGGAATTTATTGGCTTAAGTAAAGTCAAACAAGAGAATTTTACATGGCACAACTATATGAGAATACTTAGTTTGAAATCACTATTATTTTAGTTAAAAAAAAAGCTAAAGTTTTGAATTAGGAAACAGTTCTTTAATTATCTGTATTAATTGCAAAGAAAAGTATGTTAATATTATCATTTAGTTATTTTCTAGTAAATTACGTTATTTTTTTGTGGACAGGGATTACTTCTGGAGCCGTTAAAACCTATATTTAGCAAGACATACATTATGTAAGTTTAAATGTACATTGGTATTTTCAATTATAGAACATCAAATTAAAGAAATTATAAAACAGGATACACAATGTTTTTCTATTTCGTGATGATATAAAGAGGAAGACAGAAGGACAGTTGGATAAGTAAAGCAGGTAAGAGTGACAACAGAGATGGGAAGAGAGAACGGACAGACTGAGAGATGGGGATGGGGAGATGGGTGAAGAGAGGGGGAAGAACAGGAGCAAAATCAAGGATGGGGAAACAATACGGTGGAAGAGAAAGAAAAGAAGCCTGAGAGGAGAGAGATGGAGAAGACAGTGACCAACGGAGACTGAGTAGAAAGAAAGACTGACCGAAGTACAGACAGTGAAATCAAGAAGACACAGGGCAACAAGAGAGAAGGGGTTTGTGGCTGAAATACAAAACCTGGGAGAGCAAAAGCAAAGAAACAAGAAAAGCAGAGTAACAGAATGACAGAGATTTGTCAAAGAATGGAAGACAAGTAACTTTATTTGTAGCAGTCAGCTGCCTTTCAGCTCTTAGATTACATGAGACAACTATGTACCAAGAAAAGTCTCTGAGCAGATGTCTATTATATGTTGTCAAGCCTGGAATCCAAAATTAAGAGTTAAAATTTAAACATAGGAAAATTTAGATTTCTTTTTTCTTTCTTTTCTCTCTTCCTTTCTTTCACTCTCTTCTCTCTGGGGCTTAATATCTCTTAGGCTAGTTGCTTGTTCAAGACAATCTGGAATGGTTTATTGGGAAAACTTTTATCAAAATAAATTGTATGGTTAAATTGGCCTGGTACACCAAATATACTGACTTTCTAATTTATTAGCCATATAATCTTTTAATTTCTTCATCTGAACAATGGTGAGTATTTTACCCCTAGAACTTGTTGTGAAAGTCAACATGTAATATATGTAATGAGAGCTTGGAGAATGATAATAATGATAGCTAATGATAATAATGATGTCATTATTATCCTGTAGCAGTCATGGAAGGTGCAATGCTCACATTTCCTAGAACAAAGAAACTACTCAGCTACAGAGTTCTAAGAAACTCTCTGTTCCACTGCAAGGAGAGTATTTATCCTATAATCTGCTCTTCAACAACTGTACAACTTTAGAATCTGCTTCAGCTTTCCGTTTAAGGTTATCAACTTCTTGGGTAACCTTCAGCCAAGAGCCAGTGTCTGAGAATATCAGACCAATACTAAATTCTTGAACTGTAACTTTATTTCATATCTTCCCACTGGGAGAGCTTTCGTAAGATCTACATTGAGGACTGATACTATTCCTGCCCAATACTGCTTCCTCTCTACTTTCCCTTCTTCTTCTTTTTTTTTTTTTAATAAGATTTACTTATTTATGCATACAGAACTAGAGTACACGCCAGAGGTGTTAGGGTGTGAGAAGATTCACCAGAGACAGAGTGGGGAGCAGAAAGACAGATCAATGAAGTACACTGCTGAGGGAAGCAGTGGGCGAGACAGGAGAAGTCTGCTGCACATCTGCTTTCCCTTCTAAGGTATTATCCCTTTCAATACACATTTGACCTTTATATATATATATATATATATATATATAAAATTTATTTTTACATTTTTACATTTTTTTTGAGTATATTTTCATCTCAGTTGTAATCCCCTTGGGTTTCCCATCACCAAACACACATTTGACCTTTTAATCCCATCTCAGTGTCTGCTTCCTAGTGGTCCCAATTAACACAATTGTCAACTATAGTCCATTTTAAAACCTCTGTCTATATATAGCTGTAAGTATATAACTTCTCTGCATTTTTCCTGGATTTGTTAAGAAATTCTTTATATTTAAGTCTTCTCAAAAGTATATTTTCTTTTTATAATTGTTTTAAGAATTACTTAATGAGGGGTCTCCCTGCTAGTAAGTACAAGTGGTTAAGTCTCTGCACCATGAAGCTATCAGCAACCACTGCAGCACTGGTCAATCCCTAGCCAGGGAGCTGACCCACATGGCCCAGCAGACCTCTCCAGTCTTTCCTGCTGCTCCTTTCAGTGGTGTGGTTCAGTACATCTGTCTGTTCTACTCCCTACTACGTCTCTGGTGAGTCCTTTCACCACTACCCCCTACACACACACAGACACACACACACATACACACACACACACACACACATACACCTCTGACCTATGCCCCAGCTCTTGTATGCATAAATAAATAAAATAATCTTAAAAAAAGAAAAAGAATTATTTAATGAAAGGTCAGAGCTTACCAATACAGGTCCCAGGCGCTGAGGCAGCAGAACTTTGGTAACTGATTTACCTGCATTACTTTCAAAAACATTCCTCTGGTGAGATGCTGGAACCTTGAATTTTAGATGAGAATTTAACATTGTTTGAAAATCTGTATCACTAGGTTCTGGATATTTTTCAGGTTGAAACAAATTCAGAATCATGAGATATATTACACAGTTCTATAAAAACATTTCTAGCATTTCTCTGATATTCTATTTTTATTGTAATATATATATACACATTTATTACAATGAAAAGATGACATCTATATATGCATATGTATACAATTCTATCTACCTTCAATGTGAAAAATATTTCAAAGACAAGTGCTTTTTTTTAAAGGTAAGAATTTCTATATATTTGAGGAAAAAAACTAGAAAGACAAACAGTTTGAAATATATTCAGCTCAAACAATTTCCCTATGTGATATGGTAACATGTATCTGAGGAAGCCTGTAACTTTGAATCACATATACTGTTGTAAATCAATGTTACCTCAATAAGAAAATTAATAAAAATAAATGTTTTACCACATTTAAGGTAAGAAATCCAATCAGAGTTCTATAAATAGAAGACAAATGACAATGAGATCTATCACTATTTTAAGCAAAAATTTTGAGAAAATGTTAAAAGTGTTAATAGAAACTCCTTATTATGTAATAATCTTCATTTAGGAAACCATAAGTTTTGTCTTTTAGTTCTTTCTTTTGGAAAGAAAATGTGTTCCTTTACCAACTAATCTCTGCATTCTACACTCAGACAGTTCATAACCTCTTGTCCTAATTAAGTAATTTGTCTTATGCTTTCAAGATGTACATTCCACATTTAAATATATTCAACATAATTAAAGAGGTGTGACTTGAGTGGGATGCTCAAAGAATGGCAGGACTCTGAGTTAGGAGTCTGTGGTCAAGAGACTGGTAGAGAAAAGAAAAGAAAGTAGAAGAGGTATAAATATTAGAAGCTGCAGTCCCTGCAAAAGAAAGAACAAGGGTATGGGTCAAAGTGACATTTACTGCTTTCACTGAAAATATAGCAACTTTTCTCTTATTTATGTCATTCTGTCATCCTTCTTAGCAATTTCATCATCCAAGTTGATCCTCATGAAATAACTTCATCATCACTGAAATATTCAATTTTCTGATCCTACCATTTTAAATTTATTATTATGCTTCTGATATCTTATTTCTTCCTTATCTACTACCATCCATCATTTTAATGACTTCTTTACCCTTTCTTCTTCTATCACAGTAGCCTGACAAATCTCCAGCCCTAGAAGAACCTTGATAGCAATAGCCCCTATATTTCCAGTAAACTGTATATTAGAAAATATTATACAATCTGGCACATCAAAATTACCAAAAACTCAAAACAAGTAGCCAGAGACTGACAACTCTGCTATACTTCTCGAACTTCTCATACACCATTTTTCTTTAACTTTTAGCCTCCTTTTCGCTTCCATTTTCAGAAGACAGTCTTAAAACAAAAGAAGAAAGTAAACAGGGTGCCATCATTTTGGACTCCTAATTTTGGAGACCCAATAAAACAATTGTTCTTTAAAATATTATTAAAAATGTCAAGATGGCAACAGCACAGCAATAAATAAAGTACAAGGTCCTTTCAAACATAACGCCAATCCTGCCATCACTCCATCTACCAATTACCACACTGGAATTATCCTTCCTCTGTTAAAGCTGCTTCTACCATATGTATTCTGAATCCCTTCATCCTCATCTTTTCAAGAACTTCACTTCTATAGAGAAGTGGTTTTTAAAACTGATTATGAGATATAATTCACATATCATAAACTTACTCAGTTATGTATTAAATATAGTAGCTTTTAGTTTATTAACAAGGTTGTACAATCATCATCACAGCCTAATTTTAGAACATTTTTGATCCCATGAAAAGAAAGCTTTTACAATTATGAAGATTCCTTAAAAAATTAAAGATAGAGTCATATGATCTAGCAATCCCGTTCTTGGGTATATATATACAAAGGCAATGAAAATAAGCTATGGAAGAGGTACCTGCCCTTCTGTGTTCACTGCGGCATTTTTCATAATAGTTAAGATACAGAAATAATTTCAGTGTCTATCAGTGAATCAGTGGATAAAAAAGATGTGATCACTCCCTTTCACATGTGCATAACTGCACTCACACAAACACAGGAATATTTGGCCATAAGAAAGGAGGACTCCTTACATTTAGAACAACTTGGACCTTGAGGGTTTTATGCTAACTGAATAAGGCAAAAAGAGAAAGTAATCATTTTCATATGAAATATCTTAAAAAGTTGAACTTGTAGAAAAGATTTGCTAAAGGCTAGATGGGGGGAATAGAAAGAAGCCAGTAAAATAGTGTAAATTTTCAATTCTGAGATGAATAAATTGTGAATAATGGTGACTTGTGAAGTTGATAACACTATTATATGACTGAAATTTACTGAAAGAATAGAACTTAAATGTCCTCACCAAACTGAGTGAATGAATAAATGACTAAGGTGATGAATATGTTAGTATGGGGGAATCCTTCTGCAACATATATGTACCGAATAGCACACCCCCACATATACTCCTGCAATTTGTCAATGTCATTTCACTAAAGCTGAAATTTAAAAATTGTGCATTTCTTGTAAACACGTAGTCGGGTCATTTTTTTTTTAAACCACTCTGACAATCTCTGTTTTAATGTGTGCATTATGTTAGTTGTCCTCCTAACATTGTGATTATTAGTATAGTTGGGTTTTAAGATCTACCATATTCGCTGTTACATTCCATTTGTTGTCCCTGCTTTTTGTCTTCATTTTTATCTTCTGCTCTTTTTCTGCTTTGCAGTTTTAATTGAAAATTTCATATTATCCTAATCTCTCTCCTTTCATTAGCTATGCTTCTTCTTTTCAACTGTTTTAGTGGTTATCCTAAGTATTTATAATATACATAGACAACTAATCCAAGCACACTTTCAAATAATTATACCACATCACTGCAGTGCAAGTAGCTTATAATAACTAAATGTTCCTAGTTACTCCCATCCTTTGCTGCCACTAATTTTGGTATACATATATGTATATATATAGTATATGTAAATAAAAACCTCTCTTCTGACATTATCTATTTATTCTCTTAATTTGTCTACTTTTTCTTTCAACACCCTGTCAATATTACTCAGTTATTTCAAATTTCTGATCAGACAACTCTAACATGATTGCCAAATCTGACTCTGACATTTTTTGTCTTTTAGTATATGCATTACAAGTTTTTTGGGTTTTTTTTTTTTTGTATCATTACAAGTTTTTACTAAAAGGTAAATTGATGTACTTAGTAATAGGATTTGGGGTGAATAGGCTTTTAGTAAAGTCATGGTAACATGGTAACAGGACTCCCACTGAGGGAAATGAAGTGCTCTATAGGGCCATGGCTGTGTCGCAGTCTTTTGGTGAGTCTCTGCCCTGTACTGTAGACTTCACCAGTGCATCTTATTATTTTTCTCGTTGGTTAGTGGGAGATGTTGGTTAGTGGGAGATGTTGGTTAGTGGGAGCTGCAGTTCAGTATTTCCTCTCCATTTTGAAGAGGAGAACTGGCTGGAACTGTGTATCTCTGCCCTTCCATTCCTATGTAAGTTAGATTCTGATTAATCTAGAAAAAAAACCAGAGTGCAATGAAATGCTTTAAACTTTAAGGTTTTTTTGTTTTTTGTTTTTTAAGGATAGAATCTATTATATATCTCCTACCCTTTTTCTTCCTACTACTGCCAGCAGGAGATTTTTCTCTGATATTCACTGTGAGGATCTGGTAGATCTCTGGGAAGCCAAACTCACAAAAGTGAGTTTGTGGCCCCATAATGACCGAGTTCCCTTGAAGTTTCAACTCTCAGAGTTGTCCACAGTTTGCCTTCAGTAGTCTATCAGTCACACTTTTGATTTTCCTACTCTAGCATTGATTCCCAAGGACATTTCTGTTCACTCCTTCTGCTCTGGTAAGTGGCAATTCTCTGTATTCATTTGTCTGTCTCTTCAAGTTTTGGGGTAGCAATTTCTACTATAATCTTACTTCCTTAATGGATCTAAAAAGATGTGCTAGTTTTTAATTTTCTTCTGGTTTTTATTTGGTATTAAGATGAAGTGTTGATTTCTAGTCTCTTACATAGTACACTGGACATTGGTATTGACTGGACTTCCAACTGCTATATATAGTATTCAGCATTGTTGATTACTCTCCTTTGACAAGTAAACACTCTATTCTCTTGACTTCCATAATTCTATATTCTCCTCTTTGTTTCCTTCTCTGACTATAGAGTTTTCCAAGGATAGTTCATGGACCCTTTTCTCTTGGTACTCTATCCCAGGTGACTGCATCCCCATTCCCATGAATTTTAAAATATCAGTAATTTCTACACATTCCTCATCTATTTTCCTCCCCTATACATTTATACCAAGTGAAAATACCATATTTTCATCTTCATGTGCCCTCAGACCTCTTATCTTTCCTATCACATTAAATAGCATCTTTATCCACTCAAGCAGCTTAAGACAGTAACCTGTCTCTCTTGACAGTGACTCACTCCTTCATACTCTTTATCTAATCCATAAAGTACACAAGCAAAATTATCTTGAATCCATGAATATTTCTCCATCTCTTCTACAAAACATCCCAGTACAAGCCAATATAATGTTGCACCAAAAATATTTCCACTCATACTCTCCCAAAATTTTTGTACCAACATATCAATGATAGTACAATATTGTGGAAAGAATGCAGGTTTTAGGGTCACAAGCTCCTTAAGCAAAATGGTTAACCTTTAAACCTCATTTTTTCTCAGCTATAAAATAGGTATAAAAGAAAAAAAAATCTTTGAAAAAATAGTATATATAAAATAACAAAAATGACAATAGGGTAGAAAGAAAAGTTATAATTAGCAGAAGTGTTTAGATGCTTAGCACTGAGTAGCCACTCAATTTGTAGCTCCTGCTATACTCAAAGTCCATATTCCTCCCCAAAGACGTCTAGATTTCAGACCTAATATGTTATTAGTATTCCTCGATCTAAAAGTCTTCTGCATAACGAATGTCTTATTTTACCTTAAATTTGTTATTAATAGGCATCCAATTATCCAAATGGAAGTTGTAAAAAAAAATTCTTTTTCATTAGACTTAGTAAGAATATATGTTAACAATAATGTGATCTAATAGTTAAACTATAAAAGCAGTTTTAAATTATTAATTTAAATAGCTGAAAAATAATTCCTACAAAGGTGTTGATTAAAAACATGTTCTATATTAAATTTATGGTGTATGAAGTTATTATGCTTTAATACTTGCTTTTTTCTTGTTTTGGTTTTCAGAGGTTGAAGGATAAAGTTTCTCAGCAAGTAAAATTTCACAAGTTGCACTGTCTATAAATAAAAACATATTTTAGTATTCTAATTATTTAGCTTGCATAAGTACAGGAGAACTTGAATTTGAAAATTGATTTTAATAACTGTCTTTTTTAATAGCTTTAGAAGAAAATGTAATGTAGTTTGAATAATCTGACTTGCTACAGCTAGAAAAAAATATTCTTAAAAACATCTTTTCTCGAACCCTCCCTGGTGGTGAAGGGGGTTAAAGCACAGCACTAAGAAGCTAAAGCCACTTCAGCATAATTTCTATCCTCAACCCCGAGATAATCCACATGGCGCAGCAGACTTCTCCTGACCTGCCCACAGCTCCCCTCAGCCGTGTACTTCGTCATTCGGCCTGTTCTGCTCTCCACTCTATCTCTGGTGAATCCTCTCACCTCCCTTGCACCTCTGGCCTGTACCCCAGTTCTGAATGAATAAATAATCTTAAAATAAAATTTTTCTCAAAAACTCCAGATTTCACAGTAATATTTAAAAGGTTTTCTTTACAATTAGTAGAGAAATTTCTGTGTGATTAAAATTCTTCCTAAATTATCCTTCCATTTCTATGCTCCTATTTTTTCAAGCTCTCCCTTTCTATTACAACATTTCTACTAGCATTTAACACATATTCAAGCCTCTTTTATCTTAACATAATCTTTATCTATACCTCATACTCCTTGCTACATCCATCTCTCTTGTTCAGACAAGTTTCTTCAAAAAACTATCCACATATGCTAACTTAACTCCCTCTTTTCCTATTTACTCTTGAAACTACAAGAATCTAGTTTCAGATCCCACCAATAAAAGTAGAAATCTTTCCCTCCCTTTTTACTGGATTTCAGTTCCATAGGCATGAACCTCTTTCCTTTCTGGCATCTTTCATGGCTTCTCTTCAATCTGCACTTTTCTCTTTTCCTTATTTTCGAGACTGTGTCCAAAGCAATGAATATTTGTTGTGTGTCTGCTATATGCCAATTTTACCTATCATATGTACTTAATACTGGAAAATTGTTTTTTTTATTTTTAATAAAGTAATTCTTTAATATAAGGCACTATAATTTTCACCTTTAGATTGTTAGATTGCCCTCCTCAGTTCATTGTCCTAAAATGCAAATTTAATGCCATCTGTTTAAAACTTTTCAAAGGCTTCTTAAGCCCCCAAATTAAATTTCAAGCACCTTAATTTGGTATATAAAATCCTGCTTTTTATAATCTCTGTATTGTTTTCATATCCACAGTCTCACTGTGGACACTAAAAGGTTGCTTGATAAAATACAAGATGAAATTTGAATTTCAGATAAACAACAAAAAACATTTTTTTAGAATAAGCACTTCCCATATAATAGTAAAAGCATGTGCCATATTAGGGATATGTTTTTAGTTTAAATTGCTGTTTATCTGAATTAAAATTTAACTGGGAATTTGGTGTCTTTATTTGCTAAATATGGTAATCCTTGAAGCTAATCACTCCTCATCTTCATCTCCCTAGGTAGAGAGAAATAGTAAGTTTGAAATTCTGTAGGAAATAAAATTGTTACTGAAGATTTGGTGATAGATTAGATACAGAAAGTGACAAAGACAAAATGTTGAGGATGATTTCCAGGTTTCTTTTTTGCTAAGATACATTTGCTAACTGAGATGAAGAACACTGGCACATAACCAGGTTAGATCTTTGTTGTGACAACTCAATAGTCCTCATTGTTTTGTTATATAAATAGCTACTTTGAAATGTTGGGACATTCCATTTACTTTCTTTTTTTCATGATTCTTTTTAATTTATTTCAGTTCCTGAGTGATGTCATGTAATCCAATGGCTTCAAAACCTCTATACTCTGACTCTATTTATCTACTCCCTCAATTTCTGCCCTGAATTTCAGAATCCTGTACCATAAACTGCTTTCATGACATTCCCCTTGGAGGCTAATAATCCTCCTAATTTTTAAAAAAGATTTATTTATGCATACAGAGCTGGGGTACAAGCCAGAGGTGCAAGGGCAGTGAGAGGATTCACCAGAGACATAATGGGAAGCAGAACAGGCAGATCAATGGAGTACAATGCTGATGGGAGCAGTGGGGTAAGCCAGGTGAGGTCTGCCGCACCACGTGGATCACCTCCAGGGCTGGGGATCAAACTCTCACTGAAGTGTCTGTGGCCAGCTTGCAGTGCTGTGCTTTAACCCGCTGTACCACTGGGAGGGCCCAATCCTCCTCATTTTTAAGTATGCTAGATATACAACAATGGCACAAATCTTTTACGTTTATATACTCATCCATATTATCACTGTCTAGATCAAGATGCAAAACACTTGCAACACCTTAGAAAGTTCTTATGTGTTCTTCCTTAATCAGTACTCCCTTTGAAAAGATTATCGTGATTCTGATTTCTCTATCACCCTTAATAGTCTTGTTTGTTCTTACCCCTCATGAATATGTAATTACACGATATGTGTATGTTTGTGTCTACCTTCTTTCATTCAACATTGTGCATACAAGATGACAGATCGTATTATTATGTCCAAATCAAATTCTCTGCTTTACAGTACTCCTACCTCAAGAAATAATAACTACCCTCTCTACTTGTTTAAATCAATAATTTAAGGTGCCTCTTAGACTTCTATTTTTCTCTCTTACTCAATATGAAGCCTAACTTAAAAATCATGGAAAATCTACCTTTAAGATAAATTCCAAATCAGAACACTGCTTCCACCTAAGTCCCATACACCATCATCTGACCATTGCAATAAATTAAAAGGTTTCTTTCCTTCTAGTATTGCTGCTTAGTCTATACTCCATATAACTAGAATGATCACTCTAAAATACATCATCTCATTTTATATGTCATCCCTCTTTTTCTCGGCACTTTTAGAATAAAATCCCTATAACTTATGATGGCATATGAAAGCTTGATCAGCTCTCTGACAAAATTATAACCATTCATTTTCTTATTCATTTTGCTACAGTCACACTGACCTCTTTCCCCTTCTTCAAACATGTCAAGCATATTCCCATTTCATAGTCTTTTCACTTGTGCCCCACTCTCCTGCTTTATTCAACTTCTATACAAACATCACCTTTTTGGAAATGACTGATTACCCTATCTAACATAGTATCCCCATTTATTACTCATTTTACCCTGTTTTATATTCTTTCATCTTATTTCTAATGTTATTTATTTATTCATTAACTTTCTTCCTCCACTATAATTCCTTGTTATGTACATAAGAGTATTAACCTCAGAGGTGAGTCAAGTTAGAGAAAATTTGGAAGCCCTGACTATTACAGACCTATACCTATCAGGGCTGAGCTTGAAAATAGATTAAAATCTAGGAGACTTGAAGAACTACTATATTTAATAAGAGCAGATGAAATTGTAAATGACATTAAGCAAGAGTAATCTAAAAATAATTTCTTGTTTGCCTCTATTTCTACACTATGGGGATCTTAAAGGTAGGAAAACAGTGATTTCTTGATTTTCCTACAGTAAAGAGCCTGACATTGCTGGAATATAGTGGGATTTGTTCAGTTAAGCAACATGTAAAAAAAAAAATACCTCTAAAGCAATATATGATTTATTTAATTTTAAATTAACCACACTAAAGAATATGGAGTATATATAATTCTAGAATCACTTTATAAACAATATTTTTCACAATCAAACCAAAACTTTTTATTGAGAAATACTTTCCCTTTCATTATCTCTCCTCTCTTGTTCATTATTTCCCTTAACTCTTCAATCTATAAAACAAGTCTTCCTCCCAAAGTTCACTCTGCAGAGTGGAAGGTGCTACTCTTTCCAAGATATGTACTTTTACATGTCTAGTTTTTACCATGAGACTAATTTCCCTTAGAACAGAGATTATTTTTTATCATTTTATACTCATAGCTCCTAACGTAATGCCTGATACTTAGTAAAGCCTCATTAAAACAACTTCTTTAAGTGATTATGCAAAAAGAATTCTTTTAAGTCATGCAAATTTTTTTAGTCATACACACATCAGGACAAAATCTAGCACTTCAAGATTATCCCCCAAATAGATATGCTATAAAACAAGAAATAAAGAAAATAGAAATTTGAGACACAGCTGTTAATTCATTCTAAAAATAATGTCTATAAACAAGGTACTTTGTTAATCCTGTTATCTTTAATTCATCACAGGTAACCCCAATTTATCTATTTAGAAATTATCTTCCTCCCTTACAAAAGTTTATATATATAAAAGGTATACATAATCTGATACACCACTCTTTTATTGGTATATTGAAAAATGCCTACTATTGTATGCATGCTCAGTATTGTTAATGAGATGAATTAATGATGGGTGCTGTGGAGATATGTAAGGCGTACTTTTTAACTTTACATATCTTAATTGTTTAAATATAACTAAGTTAAAAGACACTTAGTTTTCTGGGCTATCAGTTTCTTAACACACTGCATTGTGACCAAAAAAAAAAAACCATAATAATGAAAATGATTTAGTCTCACTCTTTATTACCTGATTCTGGATTTGAAGTATTCTTTGGCTTTGGAGAAATATTTTGATCTGCTAATTTCATCACTCTACAATGAAAACAAATCAATAATATTTTCTCAATATTTCTTAACTTTTGAGAGTTTCCAAATATATTTAAAATAAGAACATTTGTATATAATCAATAATCCTACAGAAAAAAATACAACTGATTAGGGAAAAATATTACCACACATACATGAGCAGCTTATAAAGGCAACATACCTAATATTTTTTAAGTGACATGATATGTGTAGAGGACAAGCCACACAGAGGTCTCTCTGTAATATCCAGGAGACCTGAGTTTAAAGCCTAGTGCTGCATCTCACACTTGAGTGACTTTGGGAAAGTTACTGAACCTGTGTTCAGTCTTGGCTACCTGATTTATGCAAAAGGAATTATAATAATGTTTCCTAAGATTCTTGAGGTAAGGATCTCAAAAAACAAGAGATAATAATTTTTAAAAAATGAATATCCTTTTCTTTAATACTTTCACAGATGAGACTGCCCCCAATACAATTCAAATGTGTAGAGATAGATTAACTATTACAAGAAGAATATAAAAAGAATAAGCTCAGTCTTTGACCATGGTACAGTGAAATTGAAAACCAAATGTGAAAAGATTTTCTAAATTCTATCCCAACTCTACATTCTATTCCTGAACATTTGAACTAGGTAAGCAAAAGCTAATTTTATTCCTGTATATTTCCCCCTTCAAATTCATCTTTTAGCATACTATTGCATAATAAACAATCATTTTTAGGTAATAAAAAGACCAGTATAATATAATACCAAACTCCTTTATTCAATTTAAATTTATTCCTTTTCCCAAATCAGGCCTGACTTAGACTAATAATTTTCAGGGAGGAAAAAAAACATGGTTGGTTTTTCATTATTTCTTGCTCCTTCCCCTTCCACACACACAATTTGGAAACTTCTTTGGAATGCCCTAACATTGAAGTAGGGGGAAAGAGTTGTAGAAATGAGTAGGAAAGGTCTTAACTGATATCTATTATAATATGCCATAGGTGCTCTTTGGATGTGATAGATAACCAATGCTGGCTCACACCTGTAGAATTTTGAGGGGTTAGAGGATAGTTCTCTCTATACTTGGGGCTCTCTCATTTGCTGCTCTTCAGATCTCCTCAGCTTTTGCACTTGATAATAGAACGCCAAGTCCCCTTTCAATTGACTTTACTTTGTCTTTTGTAGGAAGTCATACTGGGCATGTTCTTTTTTAAGATGATCCAGAACTTTTCTCTTCTGTGGGAGCTACATCTGATCTATGGACATTATGCAAAAGCTATGCCAAACTCTAAAAGGACACCTAGCTTCTTTTTTCTGCTATTTCAAAGCATCTAAGGGTTCCTCTTGCCTTTAGACTTTTCAAGTATGAGTCAGAAACAAATTCCAGGAGGCATATGTTGAACTTTATCAACACAAGTGGTTGGGTTTTTTTTTTTTTTTTTTGGAGCTTCTTCTTTACTGACCAGGTGAGAGAGAAGACTTCTTCTCTTTTTATTTAATGTGATAACATTTATCAAAATATTCTTGGTCATTTTATCTTTTCAATGCATGCTCAGTCTTTCCTTAAACAGCTAGGAGATGAATGGTGAACTAATGATGGAAGAATGGGGTTGTGGACAGGAGAGGCCTGCTGTACCAAGTGGACCACCTCCAGGGTGGGGAACAAACTTGCACTTAAGTGGCTGCAGCCAGCTCTGCTTTAACCCGTTGCACCAGCAGGGAGGGCCACCTTTTACAAATTCTTTGTAGAAGCTTCTGTATCTAGAATAGGTTATAATGTACTGTTTATTTTTGTTTCATTTTCATTTATTGAGTTCTCAAAATAAAGACTACAGAAAAGCTGCATTTAGCATCCTGCTATAGTTCTCTAATTCTTGTTAACATATACAGATTAAGTTTGGTGAACACAACCACAGAGTTTCATTACTAGCCAAATAATGTAAGAAGAACTCAGGATGTGATCAGAAATTGATCCCCTCCCTCCAGTCTTCTAGCCTAGAAAATTATTGGAAAGAAAAAGGGGAGAGAAGCTTAGAAAACAAAATGTTAAAAGGAATTTAGCTCTTCCTCTAGCCCCAAGCTGTAAAACAGAGATAATACATGAGACGACAACAGTGAAAAAAGTGAAGAGAAAACCAAAACTCTGCTTGAATTCTCACAGAAGACATTCACACAAGATAGGTTCAAATTTGTCAGGCAAAGAGGGGGCCTCAGTTAGTCCTCCTAAGAGTCCTTTTAATTCCTGCACATTGTGAAGCTGTCAAGGTCTCACACACCAAGGGCAATCTAAACTACCTGGCATTATGACTATTGTGGTGAGGTGACACCACCACAGGGTTGCAAAAAGGCAACCAAGGCAAATACTGGCTGTAGGACTAAATGAGATACAAGGGACTCAAGATACCAATAAAAGAAAGATAAGTTAAGAAATTTTAGCTTTAAAGAACCTCAGATATGACCTAGTAAGACGATAAGTTACTAGTCAGTGACCATCCATAGAGTCCAGTTCACATGTAACTGGTCTAGAAGCCTGGCATACAAATAAGGGACAATCCAGAAACTATTTGTAGATCCCAGAGACCCCCAAGCTTCTATATCACCCCTCCCTTACTTGAGACTTGCTCAAGTCTATAATTAGGATGACTCTTAGATTAAACTGCAACAGTTCTGAGAGAAATTGCTTTATTAAAAAGCATGTCAAAACAACAGGCACATATTGGGACTGTTCCAGGAAAACCATGAAGTATGATCACCTTCATAAACGCCATTCTCATGAATATGGGATGGGGATTTTTAACTAAAAGTAACTGGATGACATATATACATTATATTATGTATATATGTTACAGAAAGTTATATATGTTATATAATGTTAAATCCTTGAACTATTTCACCAATCACACATATGTGTGTAGGCTACCTTTTATGATCTGGCCTCCTGCTTCTATCACTTTATCTCCTACCTTTCTCCTCACTCCACTTCAGAAGACAGGCCTTTTTGCCTCAGGGCCATGGCTCCAGCTATTCCCTTTACTTGGAATGTTCTTTTTTCCTCCAGTTAGGTCACTCAGCTTGTTCTATTCTGTCTCCTTCTTTAGGTCACTGAACACTACCTTTTCTTTTCTTTTTTAAAAAAGAATTTGCTTTATTTATGCAAACAAGAGCTGGTTTGTAAGCCAGAAGTGCAGGGCAGAGGTGGTGGTAAGAGGATTCACCAGAGACAGAGTGGGGAGCAGGTATACTGATTGAAGTACACTGCTGAGGGGAGCAGTGGGTGAGACAGGAGAGGTCTGCTGTGCCATGTGTGTTAGCTCCCTGGGGGTGGGAGGAGGCAGGGGGATCGAACAAGTGCTACAACCACTGCCATAGCTTCACAGTGTTGAGACTTAACCTCCTGAGCCACCACAAACACTACCTTTTTAATGATAACTTCCCTGACCACGGTTGTTAAAATAGCAAATCTAGATCCCAACATTCACTAGATCCTATTCTGCTTTATTTTTCTCATTAGCTTTCATTACCATATAGTACCATATACACTTACTTGTTTACCTATGGTTACTCTCCTGACTAGATACGTTGTTTTGAATCAGTTTTGCTCACTATTATATGTCTACAGCAATTGAAAACTGTGTTGACAGGTATTAGTCTTCAATAAATATTTACTAATGGGATGTCTGAATTTGTGGGCTAACTATCAAACCTGCTATATATCTATTAGAATACAGTTTTAAGAAGTACAAGGCCCTCCCTAGTGGCACAATCGGTAAAAGTGCAGCCCTATGAAGCTATCTGCAGCCACTGCAGCAGAAGTTCAATACCTGGCCAGGGAGGTGACCCACATGGTATGGCAGACTTCTCCTGTCTCACCCACTGCTCCCCTCAGCAGTATACTTCATCAATCTGCCTATTCTGTTCCCCACTCTGTCTCTGGTGAATGCTCTCACCCCCCAAAATTCTGGCCTATACCCCAGTTCTGTATGAATAAATAAATAAATCTTAAAAAAAAATGTACAACAACTTTCAGAAAGTAGTTCTTACTTTCGTCTATGGAATTTCTGATAGTCTTCTGAAGAGGTACCTAGGCAGGAAAGTAGGAAAAATGGAATCTATTAGAAATATAACTTCTACATTCAAACACAGGCTAGATGGAAAGGTTATTTTAGGTAAAAATAAGTATATTCTCTAAAATGGTACGATTGTGGTACCATTACTGTTATAACTTTACTGTTTTATAACTGCCACTTAAATTAGGTAGAGGTATTTTCCAAATACCAATATTAAACAAAATTGTTACAAAATTCTATTAGAAACAGGAATCTATTATCTTGTATTTTACATATATTTAAAATTTTAAAGAGCTATTTACTATCTCCATTTTATATGTAAGATAAACATAAGAGGTCAAATAATAAAACTAATAGCTATGTACCTTGAACATTTTGTTTTTACAACAGTATATTTTTACATCATTTTGTACATTTTTTTTTCCATCTCAATTGTAATCCCTGTGGGTTTCCCATCACCAAGTCACCCATCACCATAATCCCGTGCACTTCCCTCCCCACTCCCACCCCCGTTTTTGATCCCACTCCCCAGTCCACCCCCACAAAATGTCTCTGATATAGGGCTATTCATTATTTTGTTATTTTCTCGCTTGGTCCATTATACTCCTGCTATGAGTGAAACCATCCAGTATTTTTCTTTCTCTTTCTGGCTTACCTCACTAAGCATGATCTTTTCCAGCTCCATCCAAGTTGCTGCAAAAGACATGTGTTTCTATTTTCTGGTTGCTGAGTAATATTCCATTGTATATATGTACCACATCTTTTTTATGCAGTCATCTACTTTTGGGCATTTGGGCTGCTTCCATGTTTTTCCAATTGTAAATAAAGCAGCAATAAACATGGGGGTGCAGGTATCTTTTTCAATCAGTGTTTTTGTGTCTTTTGGGTAGTTACCTAGGAGTGGGATTGCTGGATCGTAGGGAAGCTCCATGTTTAGCAGTTTGAGGAATCTCCAAACAGTTTTCCATAGTGGTTGTACTAGTTTGCATTCCCACCAGCAGTGCAGGAGAGTTCCTTACCTTGAACATTTTTTTAATTAATGAGATATCATTATTTTACATCTTTATTTTTTTACAGGATAGGCTTTCTCTCCTCAGGTGTAGAGGAAACCATGTAGAAAACCATAGTGTTTCCACCTGGTGCCCATTGTCCTCCACTATCACTCACCTGTGCTCTCCCCTAAGATGCCTCAGATCTATGGTCAGCTTTCAGGGGTTGGTTTTAAATTCTGTCTTTGTTCGGTCTTTTGTTTGGCTTCTCTATATTCTACATATATGTGAAATCATACTGTATTTTTCTTTTTTCTTCTGGCTCATTTCACTTAGGATAATCCCTTCCAGTTATTTAGGCTGTTTCTATATCTTGGCTATTGCAAATTGTGTTGCTATAAACATAGGATTACAAGTTTTCTTTTGAATTAGTATTTTTGAGACTTTGTAGTATACTTTGAACTTAACTCAGGTGTAATGTTTTTTGATCTAGTACAAAAAATATAGGTTTGCATATTAATAGACTGATTAGTCAAGACTATGCTACCAGTTAACATTTTTCTGTCAAGGTACTAAGATATTGCTAAGAATAAAAAATAACATAAAATAGTCTTCTGAAGAGGTTATAACCCTCAGTAGCTGTAGAACTTTGCCTACATTAAATTAGAATTCAAAAATCCCAAAAGTTGAGTGAAAGTGAGTGAATGATGCCTCCTTACGCACTGCAAAGTCTTTTCTTGAATGGAAGAGTCCCCAAATATAAAAGACTACAGTGGATGCTTGTCATTCAATATTTATTCTCTGCTTTTGCTGCTTCTTCTAAATTTCCTGCTGCTTCTTCTAAAGGACCACACCTGGCCTATAACTTTAATGCACCATGGGCCCTGCATCTGCCTGGCAAAAGTGACTGGCTCAGGTAAAGTTATATGAGCAATTTAAGCCAAGGTGTAAGGTCCAGGATTTCTGTTCGAGCTGTTGAGAAAAAGCAGCACTGTGTTCACTGGACTTGAGGCTGTGAGGAAATATACCTGGAGCTAAAAGGGGTTGCTATATAAAGCAATTTGGCTGATACTCTGATACAGAGGGATTCTGAGTTCAGAGACAGAAAGGAACTGGATTCTACTGATAACCATCAAGTTGTATCTGCATCTGATTTAATATTCTATATTTCATGTATATGCAGTAATAAATTTCTTTTTTAACTTTTTTTTTTTTTTTTT